TCTCGTACCGGGCGCGTCGCGGAAGGATAAAGTAAAATCTCGACCGATAAGGAGCTGTGCGGGTGTTTCTGCTGTGACACTCAAAATGGCAGAGACATATTTTGCCACCAGCTTCGCATTCCTTGCAGCGATGTGCGACAATTGATGTTTCCGTTGTTTCTCCGTATCCTGCTTACTGGCCGTGTATCCCTTGCCCAGAAATTGTACATGACAGCTTCTCATTTCTTCCAGCGACTGGCAAAGAAGCGCGAATCGACGGTCCCAAAGCTGGATGTTTATCAAGTAAAGGTAAACGATCGCATCCGCGGCAATATCATGATATGAGCCTGTGAACAGCGGCCGCGTGCAGGGCCTCGACGCACTTCGTTAATTCTTGTTGCTCTACTTGATCCATCTGACCACCACAGGTCTAAAAACATACTTCTGAAGAATCCGGTCGGAGTCTCATATCTGGCGCGGCGAAACTAGGAGAATGATGAACGAAAGAAGCGCGCGGGGGCAAGGATGAGGCACCCCCGAAGTGGCATGCTGCCTTTGCTGACTGTAATCATTCCATTTTCCTGGATTGCTGCGAGGTGGCTACGGTCACATTCCCTTCCACGATGATCGAGAGAGTCATATTGGATTATGTCCCTTTTGTTCCATCAAATATAGTCCTCGGTGTGAAGTAATGGCCGAATATACTGTGTCACGAGGAGATCTGGTCGGTTGTCAAGCAGATACTCTTGAAGGCGTAGATTTAGAATGTCTACATGGCTGACGTGGAACAGGTCCTGACCGGAATATCATCACGAGGCCTGCAGTATACCAAGCTCGATCTAGGAAACATTCTAATAGCAAACAGTGGCGTAGTAAAAATTAGTACGCTACTGGGACCAACATTTGACAAGTTCTATGCTCATGCTAGACCAGGGGCATCCATCATATCGGGCAATAGAATTCTCAAGGCTGGGCCAGGACAGATGAAGCACTGCTCTACCTCAGTGTGAGCTTGATTGGAGAGTCCAAGGGGTCATGCTTCCGCTGCAGCGATACGTCCTGTGAGGGTGATGGTTATCATGGATGCTACGAGGGCACATCGATGCTTGCTCGTTTGGATTCTTTTGCGGCAGCGTTGGATGTCACCCGCGTTGGATGTCACCCGCTATCTCGCCGAGAAGCCCTCTGATGTCCAGAGTGGTATCATAGGAGAAGACATGTTGAAGGCCCGACATGCACGTACCAATACGACCTGGGTTGACAACCGCTTCTAACACAATCCTGGTTGGGCTTTATTGGCCCAGCGAACATTGTAAAACTAGGCACTATCGCTAAATTCGCTTCTGGAAAGGCCTATCGTGAGGTGAGTCCTAAGTCATGGCCCACCGATAGTAATGCAACTATGATCTCAATTCCGCTGCGAGACAGCGAGGAAAAGAGGCCAAGGGGATGGCGCAGGCTCATCCAAGATGGAAACAACGTTCGGCGTCCGCAAACATATAACAAACATAAGCCAGCCGGAGCCAGAACCGAGTTCGTAAAGCCACTTCGTCGCGCATACCTACAAATAGAATTTCGGCTCAGACCAGGCCTTTTCCACAACTATTGGCAGGCCCGGCTAGGTTGCACTCTTCATGAAGGATAATTACTGGTTTGAGACTCTGCACCTTTCTACATGCATAAACCAATTGGGGATTTTTTTTTCTTTTTGTTTGTAGCCTATTAATTGTGCTTGCGTAGCATTTTGATAAACCCTCGTCTGCCGTAGCCTCGGTCTAAATATAAGACCCCTCATTAGCTGCCGCCCTAGCTGGACTTGTCAAAGGGGGCGCTGAAGAGCAATTCTCCCCCTCGGCTCAAATTTTGCCCTAATGGCCTTGATGCTCCAGACCACCGTTACAACGATGGCAAAGCGTCCGAGCGGTACTTCCGCGGAAAGCTGCTAAAAGCGACGATGGTCTGGCGGATGTCCTATCCTGTTGGGGGTTATGAACTTCTGCCAGAGGCTCAGATGGACACGCCCAGGATGAACGATAGAGTGGGCCCTGCTGATACTTGCCAGCGTGATTGATCACGACTGGTTGCTTGAAGCGGTACAGACAGAAAGTCGTGACATTATTGACCTTAGACCCAACGGCATTTTTAATAGGTTGAATAATGGGGTGAACAAGTCAAGCTTCGACCCTCATCCCTGGCCAAAGGAACCCCCGCGATGGCGATGGACCGCGAGATTCACGAGCGGACCCCAGGCCAACCGATATAGCGCCGCCGGAAAATGCTGGGTTCGTACCCGACTCTCGGCATGGTATTATTCTGCCTGCGCTCTTGGACTTTGACCTGGTCACCCAACCCGTCAACTCTCACGGTAGAACATCAGGCTTCATCAATTGAAGTAGACAACATTGGTGATTTGGGTACGAATATATTCTGCCAGCTAGGACGTCCAGAGCAACGTCATCATACTTGGCCAACAGCTCTTGTGTTAGGAAGCTACGAGACCCCTGCGTAACTTGTAAGCATGCTTCCAGAGCAACAGTCAGAGGGAACTACTCTGCAGAAGTAGAAGGCACATGTTGTATTAGGTTACCCCCAAAGGATAATGACTCGGTCCAACCGTGCGACAAAAGAATCTCAGGCAAGGCTTGTCAAAAATCAGTGTGCTCCAATAATGGCGTCTAGTGGCCGTGATCGGTTCCCGTCATTGCCTTTAATTGGGTTGCTTCCATGCTCGGTAGTAGAAGCTGCGGCGGAGTCAAAGTGGCGCACTGGTCTGAAATGGAGTGCTTTGATTTAATTCGGGGTTTTACGGAGGACAGAGGACGCAAGTATAGTCTTCATTTGCTTGCCTCCATGGCGCTCAAGTAAACAGCCATGTCCAGTTCCATCCGGTATGTGGGATTTAAAAGCTTGAGCACTAGAACGTGTTTGATTACTAGCAGCCAGTGTTGACAGAGAACATGGGAGATATGAAAGCCCGCCATACCTGCTAGGTTTTGTCTATATTGAAGACTTAAAAAGTCACTGGAATTTCACAATGCCCTTGTTCACGGATTAAAGCGATGTTGAGGAAATTGGTGCAACAGGACTTCACTTATCTACATAAGCAAAACGGGTTGGTTGAATGCAAGAGATCAAAGGGAATAGGGCCTTAAAAATCCGACTTAACTACATGACCTGGAAAGACCTTGTGCCCCTTTGTATTTGCTTTAACAACCGCTTTACAGTGCCAAGACGTACATTATTATCTTTCCTTTTCCTCTTGCTCTCCTGCTTCTCCTCTCCTCCACCTCTTCTTCTTCAACTGGAGTCACCGGCAGCAAAATCGCGCCCGATTGTCATGACCATTTTGCTATGTACAGAGAGCGCTGCTAGCCTGTTCTACCGGAGCAGGAGCCCAGGATCAATATAACCCATGCACTTTGGTTCCTCATGCAACTCAAGCCAAAGCTTGTTTGAGACATTGTCTTGACCGCCGCCACTTTCCAAGTCGCCATACTCGTACGGAATATTACCCAGCCAAGGGTCAGAGGTATTTTCCGACGCCACCGGCGAGCTATGCGTAATTATTTCAGTTACCGCAGGCCACTGTAGGCCACCAGATTGCGCCAAATGCGGTTCTGGTTGTTCAAGAACTAGCGAAATGGTGTCCACGATATTGCTTGGGCTGCTTTGACCGGATGCAAAGCCACTGCGTCTTTCAGTATCTGGAGTGATTGGGGACGGTGATGTCCGCTTTATGGGCAGTTGGAGCGTCTTGTTGGCGGGATCGCCGATGCTGGCGTGTATTGTAGAGTGCTGATGTCGCTCAGTGTTTGCCAGGTCTTGGAAGATGCAACGGATGATCGTACTTTCATTCCGCCACCCTAGACCAATAGCCTTAGAGATGGCCTTGCCGTCGTTGCGGTGGTTGCTTTGCCGCAAATATTCCTTGACAAGCCCATTGTAGGCAAACCGGTAGAGCATGAATGCATTCATCGGGCGCGTGATCTTCCCTTTCTTCCTGGCTTCTTCCATGCGATCGGCGCAAGATCGATGTACCCAGCTGTGCATGTCTCTCACTGGAACGCTCACCTCATCGCTCAGGATGTCGCTCAGTGGTCGACAAAGAATACTTCTGACAATCGGAGGAGCAAGCTCGTTGGGTGACTGAGGTTTCTGCACTATTTTGTGGCGCGCCATCGAGGCTATGCCTATGTTTCTGGTCAGTAAGCAAGGTGAAGGAAGAGGACACTGAACCGATCTGTTCATGAAAGGGGCTGTGAAATGAGGTTCTAACTGGTGCCAAACTGATGATTTCTGACAAAAGAAAATGGGTGAATTTGTACAGCAATTGTCAGGCTTGACCTAGCCAAAAAAAAAAAAAAAAAAAAAAAAAAAAAAAAAAAGACCACGTCAAAAAAGCTAGAGAGCGGATAGCAAGGTTAGTAGATCATTTGGGTATTTGAACAAGGTATTTAAAAGGCTAGGCCGTGACCCACTTGAGAAGATAGGTCGTCTCACTACGAGGCACGAGTTTGCCATATCTCACTAGCGTCTGCCCAAGAAGGCGGAGTTTTGAGTCATCTATAAAAAAAGACCAAGCTCAAGTCTTCGTGTCAAGTTTGACTAATATGCGGTAATATCGCCCAATGAGCGGAACGCTCCGCCTCGCCAGATCGTCGCATCGAGCTAAACAATATCTCGAGGATAAGCCGGAATCCTACACGGCCTATTATAATACCCATCATATCCATGCGATGCGGTTTCCGATCTTCGTATTTTGTTTCTGACCTGCAAAATCAGCTTATTTGAATTCTGGATGCCATGGCTGCATAACGTATTCTCGTTAGTATAGTGACCAATGCTCGCTTCGAAATGTTGTGCAATTGGGTGAAGTTGATATCTAGCTACATTATTGTGCGTAGCTTTCGTGCCAACCATCAAGACATTTCTTTCCGTACTCGCGGCAAGTGGATAAGAAGCTCTTAAATATCGATACTCTAAGTCCTCTATGGTATGCGTTCGCCAACAATGCTTATCAATCAGAGACCTCTCTTGTGTAGCGACGGATGCATCTTCTCCAAGGATTGTGCTACCCCTGGAGTCTCCAGTCCTCGCAGATACATATGCGTCGGTGTTTCCGCGATAGAAGACCTATTAGACTTTGTTGATGGGGGAACGTGAGCTGGCAGCTCATTGCATTCACTGCCCACAACGCGGACAGAGCGTACCGCGGGTTGCGGCTCGACCGGGACCCCATCTGCCTCATTTGGTCGAGACCGATCGGACTTGAGACAGAGCAAATGTAGCCAATGACGTCTCCTGGGGCTACAGTGGCATAGACCATGTTGCAAATGACGCTTACGCTTGATAGCCAGCCATATCATGATAACGCAAGCTGCCCCAACCGTAGGGACAGACACACCGACAGCAACAGGCATGATCCAGCCCTTTTTCTGAGGCATGGATGCTCGGACCGCCGTAGTCTTTGGTTGCAGCGGCTTTCCCGATGTGGTATATGGGTACCAGGTTGTGACCGTCTTCGTGTACGGGGTATCAAACAGGGACTTGAGTTGAGGGTCTCCCCACGATTCGGGCGCAGTTCGACTGGCGTTCCCTGTTGTTCTAGTCCCTATCAGCTATCGAAGATCACAGACTCATCAGACAAGATGAATGACCCACGTTCCTCCAATTTTCTGAGACACCACACTTGGTACACGGTATTCCTCGACAGCCTCGGGAGAGTATGTCGTTTGAAATTTCAAATCATTGAGACTGAATGTCTGCAGGATGCCGCCATCGAGACAAATGGACGGATCCTTGTATAGGCCCCCCACCACTAACATGTGGCTCGGTAGGACACCGAAGCATTGATGTCCGCTGCGACCATGACGAGATTTCCCGGTGTAGGCTCTGATCCAGATGAAGGATGGCAAGGAGAGGATGTACACGTCGTCATAAGGGGCAGTGGTGGAATCTTCCCCATTATAGCCGCCGTAGATGTAAATGTTGTGAGAACTGCCATCCAATGCAGAAGCAACAGTGGAGCAGAAGGAGGAACGACCGCCCGAGGGAACATCGCCTGTGGCGTTTTGGAGATACCTTGAGGATGTGACAACAAGTGAGCTTGCATTCGGTTCGGGGAAGTCGACGGGGGTACATACCATGTATCAAGCGCAATATCGTAAATTGGAATAATAGTCATGAAATCCGGGTCGGTCAAGGACTGCGCTGGGTTAACCAAGGTTCCTCTTTGGGCCCGAAGAGCCGGGGCGAGCCTCACATTCAGCTTTTGCTGCGTGGATGAAAGACCGGAGGGATATATCTCTTCTGGGGTTTTCACTCCGCCAATAACTGCTAGAACGCCTTGCTGGGAAACGGGTATCCACACCAGTTGCGGGTTTGCTCGGCTCGCGACATAGTTTGGCAGCGTCAAGTTCCGCCAGATTGGTTGATCGCCATTGGCTGCCATATTGACTGCAATCAGTGTGTTCGCCGATGTGTTTGCTGATGCATCGTCCGAGGTGATAGGACCCCAGTCTCGACCTCGCATGCCACCGAAATAAAAAGCCAGGTCCTCGCTTGGCACCGATACTGGACCCCCATTTGTGACGTAGCGAGTCATATTGCCTGGTAGTGACGAGTTAAAGAATGATCCCTCATCATGATCTGAGCCTGCATCCGAGAATCGATATCCAAGAGCCTCCGTGGCGTTGGGAACATCTTGGCTGTCCGTTGGCCTGGTTAGTCCCCTGGTAGGATACTATCAGAACAAGGCCCGTGAGAAGGGAGCGGAATGATAGTGCCCACCCATAGAGAATGATTTCTCGGTCGTTTCCAAACATTGCGCCATCTTCGAAGTTCGGCTGGGCTACGGCTGGGTTGGGCCCCTTCGAGAAAAGACTAGAGGAGTTGGTCGTTTCAATGTTGAATCGATCAGCAAGTGACAGGCTATAGAACGTGCCCCCAGAGTTACCTAGCCGGAACGATCAGCTTCTGTTCCCCACGGACCGTCGTAGCAGCTGTCGGTTGCTTACCGTCATTTGTTGGTATGCCGTAGGAACCATCGGAGTATCCGCTTGGGAAGGGTCAGTGTTGGGTCACACGGGCGCAGGATGACGGACCTCTGCCACCATAACGAACCGCCGTTCAGTATGATAGTTTGCCGAAGTTGGAAGCCTTTGTCCGATCAACACCGAGCTCGTGCGATTCGTATGCTTCATGTGGTGTGACTTACCACGAAACCCGTTCCAGTTGCACATCGTGGTATTGATTTGGGTCGTCCATGGCGGTGCAGCTATTACAGGGAGAGAAAGAAGTGAACCAACCAGCCACTTCCATGCGAAAGGGGTATGTGGCATTTTTCGAGTCTTTTCCAGAATTGATTAAAGGACGGGGCCCTGGCCAGGGCGATGGCACTTATAGGAAGGGCTGAACAGTATGCTCATAACGTAATGTTACATATTCGGTGATATCAGTTGGCCTTCACGTAAAACAAAGCCAAGCCCCCACTCTCTAAGGCAGCGATTGCTGACATGCGATTCGAATAAGAAGATATCTATCTGCATTGGCAGTGGTTCTTGCAAGCATTGCATTTGGTTCCCGTGCTATCCATCGTGTGGATTTACCCCTGCATTATGCTCACATGGTCCTGCCTGGCCGGATGGAAGAAGGATGGCCATGACCTTCCTCGCTGTGGGTTGAGCCCGACCCGTCAGATCAGCCAAGTGGTGCCGAGATCAATTACGCACGACGCTCCATCTTGACGCAAAGGGTGTGTTTCTCATGATGAATACGGCACAAGGCGTGGGCTGCCCTGTCGGGACCGACCGTACTTTCTATTCAGCCGTACAGCGGTTTCCTTCGCATTCGCATAGTCGCTCGGCAAGAGCTCTGGTGGCTTCCAGATTCGCGAATACCGTCCCCAGTCATGCCGCCGGATTACGTGTCGACGAGGAGGCAAACTCCATTCGCGCGTGGTAGACGTAGCACGTTCAGACTGCACGGGACTCTGCGGTACGACAATGGCAGGTCCGCTGTGTGCCCGCGTCGTTGATGGGCCACGACTCTCCAGGGAGGCCGGGAGAGACGCAACGGAGGCGAGGCTCTGCGGCCCACGGTTTGGTGTTTGTTCCTTCTCCTCGCTTCGATTTGCGAAATCTTGACCATATCGAACACACGGGTTCATAAACTCTGATCTGGGTACTAACGGCAGAGGAATATAACGCACGTCTTCCAGGGGGCAGAAACGCCCGTCCCTGAGCTTGACAGAAAAGGAGGCCTTCAACAGCTGTTTATCAGCCTCTAGGGTAAGTTGAAATTCAAATTCGACTTCCTTCGTCTCAATCCCAAGCGGAAACATTTCTTTGTGGGGAAGCATCCCGGAGAATTTTCCCAGGCGAGACAACCGGGCGAGGATCCGCTCCGTGGCCGGATATGTTATATCGCAGTCCCATTCGATGAGTCTGTTCTTCCGAATGTACTTGCCAAATGTTTTCAAGTTGGCGGGGGTAACGTACATCTCCGTCTCGATGATGAGATCACCTTTATCCGTCGAATCAGGTTGGATTTTTTTCGTAAATCGCAGACAACCGGGTAACTGGTTAGGATCTTGACCCTGCGTACAATCAGCCAAAACACCGACAACGTGCCTTTGTTCGAAACTGCCAACCCACCTCGCGAAGGATCCATCCTATGCCCCTGTGCCACGCTCCAAGCTTCAAAGGCTTCCCATTTCTTGTATAGTCCCCATCGTAGGACAGGCCCAGATGTCGTGTTATAACACACTCTTCAACGATAGGGCTGCGAGCGTAGCACAGCGCTCCATGCGCTATAGCCCCGGGCCTGAAGAAGTGGCAAGGCAGTGTTAGCAGTTTTCCGATGAGCGCAGAGCATGGTGAACCTACTCTGACATTCGCCTGCATATTGCGACACCAGTTTCATCGAGTATTCTCCGAGATAGCTCCTCGAAGAACCACCCATTTTCCCCTACTCCACCGCAGACCACCACAGCATTGACGAGATGCCCAGCAGACATCGCACTCTCGTACAGTTTTTTGGCTAGCCCCACGCCTCCGGCAATCAAAGGCTCGAAGAAGGATTTCATAACATGCCTATATGAGACACAAACAACAACCATGAGCTTGGCTGATAATGAACCCAATTCATGACACAGGAAGGCATTGAAGGCATTGGTGTCTCAAATGGGGACGAGTACTTACGAGGGTAAAGTGATGGGGCGGCCATTTCCATCATGGAGAATGTGACTCGATTGGCCATTAAAGTTGCGTTTGCATCGATCGATTTGGGAAGAGATGTTCAGAGTCCAGTGAACATCGCAATCCAGTGCAGTCCAATCGGGGCATTGTTTCGTGAGCCAGTTGCGTGCAAATTGGTTGATCATTTGTCCTCCACCGGGAAACCCTATTTGACGTTCAGCAATCCAGCCGGCTTGAACTTCGTGGATGAGGGCGCAGACCATGGGTTGGGCAAGCCTGCTTTATCTGATCCGTGCTATCCTCATATACAGCCACGCCGTCCTGGACAAGGGGTTAGAAAGAATACGTCAAGAGGGGGGCTGGTCGAGAAGACCCTACAACAGTGGCGCCACCGAAGTCAATGAATAATTTCGCGCCGCGTGGCAGACCGAGGCTTCTTTTGTATTTGACAAAATAGTAGGCAGCCGCCATGGCCTCCGAAACAGCCCCGGTGACTTCCATTCCGACAGCGGAAGGCTCTTGAAGAAGAAGGAGCCTCAACGACTCACTGCAGCTGACCGGGTATGTGAGATAGCATTTTATCGCGTCAAAGTTGCCACCGTACTTCCGGTGGAGATGTTCTTTGGCTGTCTCCGAGATATGCGAGAGAAGCTTCCGGTATAGGCTGGCAGGGTTGACAGGCCCTATTTGGGGAGCGGATGCTTCAAGCAGCTCACAGGATCTTGCGAGCGAGTGGGCATACGGTTCGAAGCCCATGGCGCCGAGTTTCCAATCCCTGAAGATGTGAAACCCAGAGAACGACAAGCCATCGGGACCGAACACGCAGTGTTGGCCATCTTCAGAGAGGGCTATGGTGGTATCGAGTTCTGTGGTCGTTTTCTTCCTGTCCGCGTCATCGCTCAAACGGAACTCCAAGGGGTAGTCGATCGAATCGGGGGAGTCGGGATTCTCGGAGACGAAGGCTTTGACCGTGGTTGTTCCGATATCGATCGTAATCAACACTTCCTGAGGCGCTTCTTCACTGCGCGCGGGAGCCATCAAGGCGTGAGAAGACCGTGATTGTTAGGTAAAGTGGAGGCGTTGCCAGCCACGAACCGACCCTCTCCCGCCCCCTCCCCTCTCTCCCGGCCCCGAGAGAAACTCAATCCGTGGATGGTCACGTGATGGACATCACTGCACGATTTGTCTCCGTGGGGTTAAGCTCACGTATACGCGACGTGAAGTGATGTGACGCGTCCCACAAAAACGACCAGGCCCTGACCTGGAGCCCTTGAGCTGTGCCAGTCATTATGATGTCATCCACCAATGTGGTTCATGAGATCGAGCCTACTCGCTACAATGTTATCATTTGTAGCGTTACTATGGGCGAATTCATGTGCCTCCCTTGGTAAATATTTGTCCGGTAGCTTATTTGCCGATTTTTCGCATGGACATTCCAACAATCGGTTGTTCGTTACTGTCTGCATGTCAGGCCCACATATGTGAAAACCATATTCAAGACAGCGGGCTGTTCAGAGCTTATTCAGAAACCAACCATCCAGAGTGAACCACACTAGGGCTATGATGGCTAGGTGATGCAAAGGATTGATGTCGAGAGTCGGTGGACACTATTTTCGGAAAAAGGCTAAGCTAGATTTAGACCGGTCCCCAAATCCAATAACCACCATGCTCAAAATTTGGCACACAATGACGTGCCGCGGACGAAGTTATAAAGCCCCGATAACTTCCGGGGTCCAGAATGTGATCAAGGATGGCAGGTGTGGTGCTATTGCAAGCTTCCAAGGGTCAGTGGCGACTGAAGCGAATAAACAGAAGAGGTAGCTATCGAGTCCTCATCGCTTTGGGCCCTCGGTGCAATCCCAAAAGCAGATGTCTCCGCCAACACCGAAGGCAATCGATCATGCGCTTGTCGGAAGTCAGGACAGACAGCCGGGATATGAAGGGCAAGGACATGATAAGCAGGGATCCGAAAGCCAATGACCCGAAAAGTAGGGAATTGCCTACTCCTTCTCTTTTGACTGTCATTTTACAGCAAATTGCTTCATGCGGCCTCCGAGGAGTCTCTCAACTTATACAGCGAGAAGCCCAAAAGGCACTGAATACCAGTATGTGCAATTTGTCGCTTCTTTGACTTGCTCCCAATGCTAATCGTCGTTCAAGATCTATCTCTAGTCGACCATCTCACCCAGCATATCTCAGGCAAAAGGCCTGGCCGACGCGATGACCCAATAATACGCTCGTCTGGCACGTGGCATCACGGCCAAGAAAAAACCACTCTAGAACCGACTTCCTCGTAGGCTATTTGTCTGGGGCCCTCCGGAATTTTTGCGCGGATACACGGCTGCCACTGCCTGCACCGAATACATAGCTGTCCACTGATAAAGTACCAAGGTCTGGCTTGAAACTGAATGTGAAAAGTAGCTTTATTTGAGCCGCAAATGTTCTGTAGGATGGTGAGACGGATATGGGGTTGCATCGCTTATTTGTTGACAAAAAAAAAAAAAGGCGTACATAAACGCTGCATGAAAAAAGAAAGAAAAAAAAAAAAAAAAGTAATCTGGGCCATCTGCCGTATGCGTTCTGCCGTTCAATCTCATTCGATTGTAGGCCGATAAAATTGCGTAAAAGTGGACGATCAGTCTCTAGATATCCGCAAACCACGTAAAGATTCTGCGAAGACTTGCCTCATCCTTCGGTGCATCCCATTCGCAACCCCAATCAGACCCTAAGCCCTAAGTCCCAAACCTTAGGGTTTTGGGGCTCTGTCCGCCAGCCGAAGGAGACCTCAGCCGAAATGATTCTGATATACTGAATCGGATATGGAGCAGGAACTTCGCAGGCACTCTTCCGATAACCTGAAGTCTCTCTCCTCATAATCTAAGAATCAACCCTTTATTTGGATTTGCCCTGGCCGATACAACAAGTCGAGCATAACGAGGATGTGGGGCTATGGAACTGTGGGGTGCATGGGCCAGCCACAATGATCTTCGATCTTTTGGAAAACAACCAGTTCGTCCTACATACATTCTCAACTGTAGACCTTGACATAGCCCGGCCAAGTCATTAATT